AAGTGATTATTACAAAAGCAGTCCCCAACAGGTGTGGCCCCTTTTTTGTTTTAAAAAGATGATTAGTTAATGTTATTTTTATATCGGAATGCAAATCAAGAGAGAGAAAGAGAGGAAACCTCAATCACGATGGCAGTAGGTGTGAGATTGGATACATCACTATAACCCAATTTGGCTGCAATATCTGCACAACAAATAATGTAAGGTATCAATATCTTACAAGTGAAACTCTTTCGTTTATTAATTTTACTATGTCAAGACGAGAATTAAAGCCGAAAGGCTGCATACTTTCCAAGGAAACCCTAGCATTGGCATTGGCATATGAATCACCTCTCTCTTCAAAAAGACTAGTCAGACGCATATAAGTCTGCATGGAAGGCAAAGTGTCAACATACCAATGTGTTGGTTCCTTTCCGTTTGATAGACCAATCATAAAATTAAGGATTATTTTAGTGACAATTTCAGCTATAAATAAATGGCATACTTTTCTGTATGCATCCCCTGACCCGTGATGCAAAAGGGGCCGAGAATCAGTTCCCACAGCTGCAATTCTCTGAGCCAAGGCTTCCAAGGGAACATCTAACCACACACTAATCCCCTTCTTCATACACTTCCTGATGCACCAATATGCGTATAGTAAGTTATTAACAAAGTTAATATAATATTCAGATAATTCAAAAACATAGAAAATTGTGTTACTACTAACCAGTTGACAGGGCGTACAACTGCACCTCCACCCGTAGAAACCACTAAACGATGCATCAAAGACAGTTTACGTAGCGCCTCAGTCTAAAAGAAATACGTATAATTATATACCATAATTGCAGTAATGGAAGAGAGAAGAGTGGCAAAAAAAAATAATCAACCTACAGTGCATAACTACATTAATAGGCTGCATAGTGGAACTATTGTGTTTCTTTACCGTCAACTATATTGAATGGACAACTACTAAGAATGTTTCACTTTCAGACATGTATGTATGTATGTATGTATGTATGTATGTATGCATGCATGTACGTACGTATGTACGTGAGGTGTACAGAATTGAATAGGACCTGCACCTTCCACTTTTTATTACGAGCAGCACTTCATGAAACTATGCCACCAATCATGGGACACCAATTTTAGAAATTACAAGCTGATTACCTTAATGTTGTTTCACAATAATACAGAAAACAAAAAATTTGGCAGTTTTGAGTTCTAACTGCTAATCAGACATATTTCTCTTAGTACATCATGAAACATTAGGTAACAGTCTCCAACCATGAAATCTGCAGAAAATGAATCAACAGGAATAGTTTTCAACTGACCTCCTTATCTCTGAAAAAGCCCTCTCCATAGAGTTTGAAAATTTCAGCTACAGAAGTTCCACCAACATCATGCTCCACCAATGAATCACTAGAGCATCCACAAGAATATACCAAAATACAGAATTCTGTTCAGCAAGAAGTAACCTAAATACACCATTAAGGCTTCAGATAGACTTGGAAAAATGAGATAATTGACAAAAAAGAACTCTTTGTCCTTCCACTCATCCTTTATGCAATCCCAACAGAGTATGCATTTTTTCTATAAAGACCAAACTCGGAAGTAGGCAGATTGCATACCTATCAATGAATGAATAACTAAGTGCTTGCGCCATAATCTTGCCAACGGTTGTTTTCCCAGATCCCATCATACCTGCAACTCAGACTTAGTTTATTAAGTGCACAGTAATTAAATCCTAGACTATATATAAAGCTTATAGAGAGACCTACCAACAAGATATATACAACGTCCATTCAAATATGACTCGATTGCTAGTGCCTTATTCTGCAATTTTATTAAATTCTAGTTAGACATATGCATGTGTGTGCCACACACATAAACAAATAAATAAGTAAAATATATGGTTTTGATTTATCTTTGGGCCAGAGTTCACATTCTCATTTGACAGAAGACAGATTCTGTTATTTATTAAGACCGAAAGGGGTTTGATTTACAGAATTTCACGGCCCAAACAAACTAGAAAAAGGTGTGCGACGCATACCTTCAAAACCAGCGATTCATCGAGAGTATGAAAATTTCCAGATTCCACTGTTGAGCTAGACAAGTGAGATTTTAAATGAGAATTCAATACTCAGAAAGAAAATAGATTGCATAAAGATATTTCCAGATGACAAGTAAGATTTTCTGTTACTGTGAAACCTCATTAAAACAGATTCTCAAGACTTAAGGGCATCACACTCCAGGATTTCAAAAGAGAAGCAATTCTGCTCCGCCATATGAAATTATAAACAATAAATTCAGTGAAAACAAATTATTTCCATTGTCGTTTTCAAGTTGCGGAATTTTACTATATCGAAATTAAGTTGGGTTAAAAATGAATGTGCGTCACGGTCGTAAAGCTTGTCATGGCTGAGGCTAAATTACTATTATTGAGATTTTTCTTAAAGTAAATGGTGCACACCAAACATAAGTTAGGTAGACAACGATTCTGATAACAACGTTTCAACTCTGGCAACTTGCTCAGGACTTAATGCAACAAAACTAGTTTCAAATCTGATTACTTTTCCTTAATCAAAAAGCAGCAGCGGCTTTTTATAAATTTTGTCAGCGCCAGGAATCGAACCCAGGATAACGTGCGATTTAGAATGTCTCACTTTTATTGGAAAACTATCTTAAGAGGGGGCCTTTTATAAATTTTGCACGGCCCACGAAACCATGCTAAACAGTAATTCTTTCTTCGATACATTCATTAAACTTTTTGTCCTTAATGCTTTATCTTATGCAATTTCAACACCAAGGTTGAGATTAATTAACTTTGGTAATAAAAAAGGAGACGGGGAATTGATTCAATCACCAAATAAACATCACAAATCAAGATTAAACATTACCAAAATTCAATAAAAATACTGAATTGAATTGAATTGGTTGAACAAGTTACCTGGAAAGTTCTTGTAAGAGCATGAAACCTCCAAAGCGACATGTCGTTGTCGATTGGAGACTTTTGGGTTGGTAGGTGAGGCAGCAGCACCTGGGTCATGTTTCGTTCCTTCAATCTCGGAGAGAAGGAGGCCGCCGAGCGCGTCCGCAGCCTCCTCGCGACCTTGTCGGAATCCACCATCCATGTTGAAATTTGCAATCTCGGCGCAACCGTAGCCGCCTCCATAGTCATCCTCCCTCAAACAAGACAAGCAGCTCAACAGCTCTGATTCCACCGCCACCGCAATCAGATTAAAACTATTCAATCAATCTCGAAATAATGTGGTACAAATCTAAAAGAAAAGCGGCGGCGCAACAAACAAAAACAAACAAACATTTGACATCAACAATTTGGATTGGAGGAATATTGGAATGACGAGCGGGGCACGTACCTATACGTATTACCAGAAGCAGGATCGACGACTGAGAGATTTGAGACGTTTTTTTCAGGCTATGGTGTTTCTCTTTCTTCTCTCTCACCTCTCTCTCTCGCTCACGCCTCTCTGCAAACACATTGTTTATTTAAAGCGACGTGCCACAGAGCGTATTCTATGGGAGGAGGATTCACCACCTATTCTATTTTGTAGTGTACCAGAATTCGGTTTTTTTTTTTTTTCTTCTTGTGTGTGTGTGTTAGAGTCACCGATAGGGGTACGCTCTATCTCTGTGCCCCCAAGGCAGCTTGGTCGTGATGGTAAAGCAAATTATTTTATTTTATTTTTGAAGGAAGACATGAAGTTACATTTATCTTTTATTGAGCTCGAAGAAGTTATTGAAAATTTCACTCTGCTCATGATCACATTTAAGTAAATTTACCAGCTCAGAGTTTTGAACTCAAAACCTTCCATAATTTTTTATTGGAAAATCGCAATCTGTACTATACTATTGGGTCACTTGATATGATTGGTAATGCAATGGACTACATAATTTGCCAACAGGATCCTTTGTGGAATCTTTTGATGAGGATCCTAGAAATTTGTGAATCATTTCTGTTTATTTTACATGGTGCAGTGAGTTTTCTTCAGGTATTATTTATGTTTAATTTTAAATAAAAATATTAAAATAATTTATGATCGCACGATGTACGATGAATGGATACGATTCAAGAATTTTCGGAATTCTCACAAAGAGAAAGGATCCGGATTCCGTAACTTGTAGTTGTTATATATTAAAATGAATGGTCTACATGGCAGTGGAATACGGATAAGATTGCCAATAGGCTGTGACTGTTCCACATGCTACCAACCGCGTAGGTATTAAAATGGTGACGAAAGGGTTTGGTAGCATTAGCATCAACTCACTTGCGGGTCACCGGTGGTTGGTAGGTGGACACTGTAATTTCCATATTTTCAAGTCATTTTTTCGCAATTGAAAATAGGAGCATTTTCATATAACTATATGGTTCAATTATACCAGCATTTAATAGTGATATGTTCACTCATAATCCTACCTACCCGCCGCATACAAAAACAATGAAATGACAGTTTACTCAACTCTAGCAAAAGCATGCAACACCACTACAAAACGAAATGTCATTAGCGATGGTCAAATACCTTCGAAAAAGGCATTTTACCGTCACAAATACTTATTTTTGAAGGGAAAAGCCCTCGTTGGACGTCGCAAATTGTCCCATTAAAAACACTTTTTTTTCCAACTAGCCGTCGAAAATACTTTATTATCAACACACAAGACTTGTAGTTAGTAGTTAGCTTTTTGTCGGAAATGAATTTTCAAAATGACAAACTTATTTTACTTTTGACATGAAAATATGGTCGTAAATCATTATATAGTTGTCAAAATTTCCAAATAATTGTGATAGAAAAAAATTTTCCAACAAAATAATTTTTATTTGTGAGAGTGCACAATTGTTGCAATTACAATTTTCAACCCTTAACTACTACTCTAGTGTGTCACAAATATTATTTTCATCGGAAAAAAAAAATAATAGACATTTCCAATGGAAATTGAGGCAAGAAATATATGCTTTTTGGTAAAAATTCCATTGAGCACTGTTTAAAGAATATTTTGTATTATCATTAATAAAAACAAACGTATATAAGATCAATATGGTAAAGCCAATACATTCATTACAAACCTAAGATATGTGTTTGAACATATTAACACTAGTCCTCAAACTTCGAAAATGCAAACTTGAATTATTTCGAATATGTACAGATAAAAGCATCTTCCCTTTCGTACATACAGTGTATGTAGCTCCTTCATATAGCTTTTTCATCACTCCTTCATATAACTCCTTCATATAGCTCCTTCATGCATCTCACTACTTCATGCAGCTCGCTAGAGTTTATGTAGCTCCTTCATCACTCCTCATATCTCACTACACCAAAACCACACAACCACAAGTTTAATTATGATACCAATATCAGAACAATTCAAAGAATATAAGTGCGTGTATCTGTGAAAACAAATGTCAAATTAAGGATGATAGGTTGCATGCCAGGGCTGTCCTTGTCTCGTGTCCTTGTCTATGGAAGGCATCAATTTTAGATCACAATTTCATGGCAGCCATTTTTCCTCCCAGTGAAAGCAGTACAGAAAAACTCCCCAACAGAGCTAAGCCAATTAGGTCTGCAGAAATAAATCCTTCAAGCTCCTTGTCATTTATTATTCTACAAGTGAAACCTAAAGAGAAGGAGAACTTTGAAAAAAACAGAAATGAAATAAAGATTAACACCATCACTGAATAATCATGAAACTATTACCAGTCTACCGCCGTACACATTGCAGATATTTGAATATAAGTCACAAAGGCTTGGATTCTCTGCTGACTCATCCTTATCCTTGACCCTTTCGTTAGGCACCTTCACTATGAAAAAATCAAAACACAAAAGCCCCCAAAGAAATTGCACCTGCAGCATGAGAAAGAAGAGATTTTTACCTTTTCGTCCTGATGCAGAGCAATCCAGACGTGGACTTCATCCATGGATTGCCAGAACACAAAAGCCCCCAAAGTCATAGAGAAGTAGGTTGCCACGTCCTTCACCATCCTCTTAGCCTTCTCGCTTTCTGCTTCTAAATCTCAAATCTAGGCGAGACCTGAAAATATATATGTCAGACCTTACATGATATAAACTGAAAAACAACATGTGTGACGATTTCATGGTTTCTATCATCATCACGTATGGCTACTAGAGGATGGAGGATGGATGCTAGGGTTTTGTTTCTGAAGAGGAAATACAGAGAAGCTGCGAGAAAGAGATAATCAGCGCTTTCTTTGGAAACAGAGAGTTGAGTTTTTGGGCGCCACGCCAAAATTTTGAAAATAGAGAGCTAAAAATAAAGTTGCCACGCCAAAACTTATGTGAGATTAAATCCTACGGTTATTATTGTAGTAAAGTTTTTTAATTAATGTTGAAGTGTGAAAAATATAAGAAAAATATACAAACGCTCGTGATGACAATCTCTACAACTTTTGTGAAGAGATCAACTCCGAAATTCGCAACTATCATCCCATAAACCGTAGATTAAATTTTAGCCGTTGATTGTCATTTACGTTTACGCTCCATTCTTCTCACAGAATTTCATTTTTCAAATTTTCTTTTCAGAAAACATAATCTTCTAGTGAATTCAAAAACATGAACGGTTCGGATTGTTGATATCACATTCAGATTTTTACGGTTAGTGAAATTATTGCTTTGAGTTTATAAAGTCTAGAGAAACTATATAACATCAACTCATATTTCAATTAACCGTAAACATCGGAACGTGATATCAACGATCTAAACCGTTCATTTGTTTGCATCTGCTAAAAAGATCATGTTTTCTAAAAACAAAATCCGGTGAGAATAATAGAGCGTAAATGACAATTGACAGTTAAATATAAATCGAGGATTTATGGATTCTAGTGTCAGATTTCGGATTTGACCCTTCACGAAAATTTTAAAGCTTGTTATTACGGGTGATTGTATATTTTTTTTTTACATTTTTCACACTTCTACATTAATTATTATGAGCTTTTGCATTAATTTTTTTTTCATATTTTTCACACTTGTAAATTAATTATTATGAATTTTTTCATGTGCTTTGGTATCTTAAAATTGCTTTGAAATTTTTTAATCTCACGTATGTGATATTAAGAATAAAATATTTATGAGTACGAGAGTAAAAAACTTTGCTAGATTAACTCTAAAATTGTCAGCCAACCAATCTTTTTGATGTATACGAGTTGATTTGAAAATCCCATGTAAAATTTATCCCACTTCTTATAATAGAATAATAAATAAATAAAGAGTAAATAGACAATCAGTTTTTACGGCATGTAGTTCCTCTCACAAATACATAATCAATTCTGACAATAACTAATAACCCTCGAAAATAAGAAATTACTACCGACAATCACTTGTTTCCCTTAGAAATAAACAATTATTTCCGACAATTTAAACAAATCCTTGAAAAAAAATACAACTATTACCGATGAATACAAGTTTCATCGAAAATAAATGTGGCACCAAAAATTCCCTCAAAAAATAGCTATTTTTGGCAGCAATAGAACCCTTTTCCAAGGGCATTTTGAGTGTAGAAAATAATACGCCGCTTCTCAAACTACTTTCGATGGAGCATAATTTTTGGTCGGAAATAATGATTTTTTCAAGGGTATTTGTAGGTTCTCGAAAAAAGTTGGTTTCGTTACCACATTCATATTCATTGTTTGCTTTTTGTAATTAATTACTCTAATTTAGCTATTTCATTTTTTTACCACTCATCTTCACCACCAGGTTACGCTCGAAACATATAAAATAGCATATACATTGCTTAGCAAGGACATATCAACTTCTTTTTTTTTTTTTTTTTTTTTTTTGTCAAAAAGAACGAATCATATATTATGTAAACAAAAAGTTGTTGACATGATATTTATATATCACTTACCACATCAAGCAGAAATTAATTAAAAAGTGATGTTTTAAAAAAGTGAAAGTGATTTTCTAGCATTATTGATTTGTTGTGTGTTTTGTTTTTTACTTAATTAAGTAGGATACTACTCGTCAGCAGAAACTTTAGTCCGTCGTGATTTGTATACCAAAAGCAAAACCAAAACAAAGCTCGTGTGTTTGGAATATGAAAAATGTAAAGCATGTGTGCAAGCCAGTCAGCCAGCCGCATGATAGAGAGAATTCGACCAAAAGAAGAAGAAAACTTTAACGAAAAGTTTCCGGTACTATTTACTTTAACGAAAAATCACATTTTATACTAAAAAGTCAATTCTAGTACTATTCACTTTACTTTTTATTTTATTCTTATCGTTAAAGTCAAAATTTTCAAATCATTTTTATTAGTTTTCCTTCAAAAAAAAGGCAATAGAATGCCAAGGCGGCTTGTGCCAACAGCACCAGCATCCCCCACGTCACGTGTTTACACTCCTATTCATATACCAATTTATTATTATTATTATTATTATTATTTTTTATTCTAATGGTTAACAAAAAATAAATTGTAGCAATAATCTCTTAACTTTAATCAAATTGGAGCATAGGTTCCTCAACTAAAAATTCACTACTATTGGTCCCTCAACTTCATCAAAACGTTTAGCTGTGATCTTTTTTGTCAACTCCGTCAGAATTCTGTCAAAATGAGTTATATTGGGAGGATCATTGCTACGATTAGGTTAAAGTTGAGGGACCACTGCTACAATTTTTTGTTATTTGATTTTTCATATTTGTCCTTTGATTTAGCCTCACGTACATGGCACATGAATCATTTTGATGGAAATTCGAACGGAGTTGACGAAAAGAACCATAGCTGCACGTTTTGATGAGTTGAGGGACCAATGGTAATGAATTTTTAGTTGAGGGACTATTGTTCTAATTAGGTTAAAATTGAGGGACAATTGATATAATTTACTCAATAAACAAAATTATGAAATAGCACATGGAGCAAATTTTTGTACCAAAACAACACAAATTTTTTAGTGTGATATTTTGTCCAACAATTGGCGGGAAATAATCATTTGCACCGTCATGCTGCATGGCTGTTGACAAATGGGAACAACTTTAGAGCGAGTATGTGGTCATATGCCGAAAAAGTTGATAATGTCGATAGTAGCGCACACATCGGCAATGCCGAGTTTTACTCAGACATTGCGGAACACCTTATATGCACGAATTTGTTACCACCCGGGCAACCAAAGAAACATCGGAGGCTCTCCCAACAGCTTTTTCAGCTGCCACGGGTGAATTGATTTATGCAAGTTTTTCTCTTAACTTGGCTCTTTCATTTTTGCATTAGTAGTTTGCATGTTTCATGTATTTCGTATGTTTCACATATCTCACGTGCATATGTTTGTTTCATTTCATACGGTGGGTGTGGATGCATCATGCATACCAGAACATGTGGCTTTTACTTTCTTTAATTTCAAGTTTCAATAAGATTTCATTCTCGAACAAACACCGGTTTGGGGACTACTCCACCGGTCAAATCATTTTCCTAAGTTCTTAACACAAATATCAGTGATGAGCCGATATTATACTATATATTTTACCTTAATTTTAGTATTAATTTATTGATTATTTTGTGAGAATTTTGATACTTTGAATTATAATTCCAATGTAAGACATTTGACTTCCTCTTGAGCTAAAAGTGACCAAATGGACGAATTTTGGAATGATTCCAATTTGAGGATGTTCCTAAGTCTGTGAACTTGTTCTTATTAAAGTTTCAGATTTTTATACCAAGCAGTTTATTTTTGGCTATAAAATAAAGAAGCAGCACGCAATGCTGCCAAAGTAACGTTTTGTGCTTATTCCCAAAGTTAGAATAGGAATGTATTTCCTAGTTATCTTATTTTATTATGTTTCCTAATTTTTAGAACACCTTTTCTAGTAAGGATTTAATTATGTAGTAGTATAAATAAGGCTTTTTAGCCATTAAAGTTTGAGGAGAAAAGGAAGAGGAAAGAACACATTACTTTGGGGAGAACACGGAGAGAAGAACCCACATCTTTTGACGATTCAAGTTTATTTTCAAGGTGTTTTCTATCATTGTTCTTAATAATATTTCGTTTTATGATTGTTTGTAACTAATCTCTTTAGCTAGGACGAGGTCACGAGCCTTAGCAAGAATATGTAGTTTCTTGTCAATTTACTTATGATATTATGCATGTAGGTTTGAATTGTTAATCATTGGTTTAAACTATCCAATTGTCTTGATGATTGGCCACCATATTAGGATATTTGGAAAAGTACTTTGATGCAATTTTGGATGAGGGCTGTCCCTGGAATTGACTAAGGTTTCTTATGGTTAATATGTGTAACTTCTTAGGATGGACAACACGTCTTAAAGGTTGTATGATTTTTCAAAAGGTTTTCGCAAAACTTAATGAGTCTTGCATGTTCACATTCAATCTGGATGCCATGAACGGATTGCATGTTAGATATACGTTCCATGTTGGAGGTTCCAATTAGGAAATCTATTAGGAAAACCTAACCTTCAAAATATGCATGGGTAATTCATAAGTAATTGGAATAACTATGTAGGATTTGGTATTTACATAAAATTCATTTAATCCATGTGGAGAACGACCTTGCTAGAGCCGACTATACTACGATTACCTTGTACTCTTATAAGTATTTTAAGTGTTTTTTTATCCTTACTTTTGCAAGTGGTAAAAATCCTATCAATCAACATGGTTGCAAATAACATGTGCAACAGTGTAAGCTTATGTCATTAACCCATGCAACTTTTAAACGGGGTTTTTATTTTTCCTACTATTTTATTTGAAGGAACATCACAAATAATATGCATGTAGGACTTGTGTCCCGCCCAATGTTTAGTTTACTCAACTCTAGCAAAAGTATTCAACACATTGCTAATTAGTTTGGTTTCGTTACAACATTCATATTCATTGTTTGTTTTCTGTATTTAATTACTCTAATTTAGCTACTTCGTTTCTTTTCTACTCATCTTCACCACTAGGTTACCCTCGAAACAGATAATATAGCATATACATTGCTTAAAAGTAATAGGATCCTATATGGATTCTCTTTGTGAGGATCTTACAGATTAGTCCATTATATTCGTTCATCAGTAATCGTGCGGTCAAAAATCATGTTGAATTTTTTTATTTAAAATTGAACACTAACAGTACCTAACGAAAGCTGGCCGCACAATGACAATGAACGGTTAAGATGAATTGATCTCTAAGATCCTCAACAAGGACAAATCATTTTTTTTTTTGGTCAAAAAGGACAATTAAATCATATATTATGTAAACAAAAAGTTGTTAACGTGACAT